AAAGCCAGCCTCAGCAACAGTGAGGTGCTAAGCAACTCGGTGAGACCCTGTCTCTAAATAAAATACAAAATAGGGCTGGGATGTGGCCCAGTGGTCGAGTGCCCCTGGGTTCAATCCACAGTGCCCAAACAAAACAAAAAACAGTGCAATTCTCTCCTCTCTTCTGAACCCTGGTAAGTCCATCACGCCACATCACAACAGCAAACTAAAACTAGTGATGCTGTCTTCATTGTACCTCTCTCTCCCTGCAACTTTCCTTCCTGTTCCTTTCCATCTGCCACCACATTCATCTAGCAAATATTGTCTTGTACAGAATAAAGTTTGTGTCCACCTGGAACTTACGGATCTCTATAGCTCCGTGTGTGCATGGCTTGTGGGGGTGGGGCTGGGGAAGGAAGCAAGCATTATATGGCTCGAAAACTCTTCCTGTGGATGTGAAGCCCTAAACTTGCCAGTTTTTTTTTTTTTTTGCCAATTCTTTTGGAATGTGTTTGTTTTGAACTTCTCTAGGGCTGTCATGTTGTACCCCCGTCCCAATCGCCCCGCTGCCAAGGGACTCTCTGACATTCTGTCTGCACCTGCTGGATCATTTGCAAAGTAGAGCCATGACAAAGAGTCTTGTGGTGCGATGCTTTCTGAATCTGCCGAGCACTGTTGCTCTGGATTGGCCTTGGGGATCGCTGAGGAGCAGAGGAGTCGGCTTTCAGCTGGAATTCACACTTAACTTGGTGGACATCTACATGTGCACTGAGAATTGATTAAGAGGAAATGGCTTCCCAATGGTAATCGAAGACCAGAGAGTGAGAGCAATTGTAGCTCTTAATGCACATGGAATGCACTTGGAAAGATATGCTTCTCCAGATGCATCCCAAGTCCCTTTTATCACTGACGTAGATCCATTTGCCCACTGCTAGTGGTCACTCCCCTCCTCCAAAAAACGGTCTGAATAGATTCTGGAGACCACTTAACTCTGACCACATTTTATCAAGCTGTGTGTAAATTAATCCCAACTGTAAAGTCAATATCCATTGAGTTACTTCAAGAAACACAGTGGGGCGGGGATATGTGGCAAAAAGAGGTTAACCACGGATGTATCCAAGTATGACCTGTCCTTGAGGAGGGAGTCCATCCCCCAGATTTCAGGAGGGTTATTCCTGTAGCAGTCTGCTTCAGTGCCTGGTGCCGATATGTGCTGAAGGTTAAAAATCACTTCCAAAAGAACCAAGTGGTACAAAACACAAAGAATCGATTTTTGGATAATTAAAACTATTTTGAATTTTTTATTTATCAATCTGGCTGCTAATATAATTTTAGTTAAATGAAAGACATTCACAAAGAATAATAGGCATACATACATAATTTCCTTCTCTCATTCTAGTTTACATGCTGTTGCTTGTAGAGAGTGAAATTTTGTGTAATTTCACAGGGATGGAGTCCTAACTGACTTCACAGAAAGAATACTTAGCCCAGTTTTTCTCAGCTCTAATCTCTGCAGTCACCATGCTCACTTAAAAAGTTTTAAAAAAATCAAGAAAACGAAACTTAGAATCAGTAACACCAAGAATGGTTTCTTGGTCTACTGGGGAGGAACTGCCATATCTCACAGCCATCTCAGAAGCCGGCAGGAACATCCAGTAAGTCACCCGAGCCTTGGACATGGTCAGACTGCCTGAGGAGACCTGTTTTTGCAGCACATTTTCATCTGGAAAAGAAGCCTGTGAATATGTGTGGTTTGTCAACACACATTCATAATTGCCTTCTGACAGTTTTTCCTCAGTGCGAGATTTCACTGGTAATGAGTTTAGATACCACTTGTATGCCAAAAATGTTCTGTAAAAGAAACGCACTTTTAAAATTTCCAACATTACCATGCAAGGCAAGTGTGGTGTAGGCACAGAGCCACCAGGTTACATAAAAATGCTGCCTTTGTATTTTGTATTGACTTACTCAAAAGCCAGTCTGACCACACTGGGCGGGGGGATGAGCAGGTAAGGTGAGCTGTCAGCCACATCCAGGTGGGAACTCAGGGCTTGATGCACAAAAAAAAAAATGCCACTTTTTTTCTGGCGTTTGGCTGTGGTGCATTTCCAGTGTTGACACGTTGGCTCCCTGGAAGTCTACACGATTGATAATTGGCTGTTGAGCAGCACACCCTCTAAGCTTCCACTTCCTGGACATGGCCACGCGGTTCTTTTGATATGAATTACAACCTCAAGAAGTTGGTCTTCAGTAGCTCTGTTGGCCTTGGCCTTTATATTTGGATTTCAAAGTGTCTCATAATTAAGAATCAGTGGCATCTCAGAAATGCTTACAAAGTAGGTAAAACAGCTCCTTCTTAAATACAGAGCAAAGAGGGACAGAAGTTCAGGGACTTGGAGATTAAGGGTTGGGGCTCTATCGGCTGATTCTTGAGGTCTGCTCTCACCAAAACATCATTTAAAAACAGGTGTTTGTTGATTTTTAGTCCAATGGTTGGGTGCACTATTGTTGATTTCTCACCTATTTCAGGACCAGGTGTTTCTACTGGGAGAAGCAATTTAGGACCTATTATTGGTTGGCTAATTTAATTGTGGTCTTCCTTTTAAAAATTGCTTAACAGGGTAGCAAAAGGCAAAAGATATGAAGTGGTTCAAATCAGGTGGGAATTGTCTGGAGATGTGAGATATAAAGGGGCCGTTAGGTTTCAGACTGTGACAAGGTTGTGATATGGGCAGAGGAGGGAGAGGACCAAGTGGAGGGAGGGAAAAGAAGAGATCCCATCGCAGAAGGAAGGAAGCTTCTCCTGACACTGCCTCAGCCTCTCATCTTCACAGCCCACACCGTTGGCTTCTTCCTGAAGTGCTGCAACGTGTCTGTCTGCGCTGGGCGGCTGTGTAACAAATATTCAACAATAACCGTAAGACCTCCTCTCTGGCCCAGGCCAGCTCTTTCTCTGGTGGCTCCGAATTCCTGCTTCTTTGCTAAGGAATGCTTGCTTGTCAAATGTAGGGCAAGAGGAGCATGTCTAACACTAGCCCTTAAATTCTTGTTCCCAGCCCTTCAATAAAATCATTCTTAAATGTTAAGAAGGGCCAGAGAATAATTCAGCAATAAACTAGTGCCTTCTTCCTGAGCTAACTTTCTTGAGCTCCAGGGAATAAGCTATTTTGAGAAGGTCGCATTCATTCAAAGTCCCCTGTTCCTAGCTTCTCAAAAGATGTTTGCTTCCTATGCGGATGATGTTTCTTGTACATCAACCCTAAATCAGCCATCAATGTTACCTGAGACTTTAAAACAGTCTCTTGGGATGTGTGTGTGTGTGTGTGTGTGTTGTGTGTGTGTGTGTGTTTGGGTGTGTGTGCGTGCGTGTATACTCATCACTTACAGAAGAGGCTCCTACTAGCCTGTTTGCCAGGTTAGTGGTGTATCGGATGTCAGACGTTAAGACCTGGGGAATATGAATGACCAGGTAAGACCAGCACTGAGTTCAGGTCATGTCATGGCTACGAGGCTGCCATGTGCTAAGCTGTCAAGGGCAGGAATTGGAAAAAAAGTTATTTGATTTTCTTCACATAATCAAGTTGCCATTTAGAATGTACTAGATAAGGCCTTCGTAAACAAAGGTAGGTGTTTTTGTTGAGCCCATAATCCCAACAAGAGGCCAGGATTTCCAGTGCCTGTTTGGTAGTTAACTTGGTGATTCAATACCTCATCCACCTTTGAGTATCTTAGTGGTCTCCGTGTCCTAATTGATGGGAATGTGGGAGAACACCTGACCCTTGCAGTCATTCAGTGTCCTAGGTTTGCAAATTTGGTGAGAGAAGGTTGGATCTTATTTTTCACCTTTTGTGGCAGAAAGAGGAAAGAAGACAGGAAAGTGAAAGAAAGGGTGAGAACATTTTAATACCAGGGGCTAATTTTGATGACTTTTACCTCCTAACCATTTTGGGAGGAAAGGAAAAGTGCTGAGATGATGCATAAAGTATATGATGATTATGGGAAATGCAAGAAACAATGAATTTCCACCTGGAAATTAATTTTTAAGTGCCAAAGAAATACTTAAAATAGGTTTAAAAATCAGAAGCAATTTTAAATCATAATGTTTAAGATTTGTTTTTCCATATGAGAATCCATAAAGGAAACCTTAATGGTAGTCATCTTGGTGAAATAAAATGGCCTTTGCTTTCAATATGTCATTTGTCAATGCTGTATTGCTTTAATATTTAGTCAGATTAAATACTTTTCCATTTTCAATGTATTTTATAGAGGACTGATCAAGCCTTCCTGAAATTTAAGTGTTTGTGAGAGTGTCTGAGGTCAACAAAAAACCATGAAAGGGCCTCAAGATTGACTCCCTTTTGTCCCATTACCTTGGCTCTCAGGGGAACGGACTGGTCCACTGTCTCCTTTGGAATGGGTCACTACTTGCATAATGTGTCATTGGCGGCTCTGAACAAGGTTTTCCATGATTCAATCAATTCATGTCCTTTAATAAGTTGGGCCTACAGAATCTAACCAACTAGAATCTCCATTTTACTGAGCCAGACCATGGGAAATAGTGTCCACACCTTTTAAACCTCACCGTAGGCTCCTTCATGGAGGAGCAGGAAAGAGTGAGCATAAGTAATTTCTCAAAATGTCGGGGTCTACAAATTTTTTTAAGAAGAGCTTATTAAGTACAAGAGGCTTGAATGGTAATCATTCTAGAAATAACTTTTGCATGATATTTTTAAAGAAATAAATATATTAAATTCTCTTTTGGGTACTGTAACAGGAAGCATTGTCCCATCTGTTAACATGAACTCTATTATTTCAAAGAAAATCAATGAGCTATTTGGGATAAGTTAAGAGGTGTGATAGACTTGACATATCCATTCTCTGGGAAGCAACCAGGCTTGTAATGAATTTGAGCTTCAAATGTGTCCATCATAGAAGAGCTCTGAATCATGGCAGTGTGTCTGTTTTGGATGGAATAACACGTGGTGTAGTTGATTAAAAATATGGCAGTGTTTCCCACACGATTCCAGAGTCACAGCAATAATAACTTGGCTTTATTGTGTTGTGTCATTCAGAGGGCTCTATCTGCTAGGATTTTATCACAGGGGTTTTAAAACTTGAGATTTAAAGCAAAGTAAGAAAAGCAACCTAATATATGCATTCGCTAGGAAGTGTCCATACTTTTGCTACAACTATAAAAGAAAAACAGAGCAAACAAATCATACGATCTGGCTCTAATTCCCCACTGAGGTGTGTCTACATATATAATGTGCTGCAGGTAAAACAGGAAAGATCTTTTGTAAGGTGGTCACCACAGTATTGTAGCTGATAGTTACAGATATTGAGTAGATCTAAGACTACATACATGGGACAGTATTATCTCATAGAATTCAATGGAAAATCAAACCAACGACCCAAGGTGCACTTCTTTCCCTGTTCTTCCTCGCTCTCTCCGGTTGTGTTGATCACATCCATCTTTCTTCCAGCCACCTGTGTGGGCTGGAGCCCTCAGAGAAGTGGCAGAGAGTGAGGTCTCTGAAAACTGGAAAACCGGTTCTCTTTGTCCTTTTCTTCCCTTTTCCAATTTACAGGACACAAAAAGAAATATTATATGAACACAAACCAGTTACTACGACAGCCCATTAAAAGTTGACTCTATGCAAAAGGAAGAGGATGTTGGAGGCCATATGGATGGATGTACATCAGTTTTTTTTTTTTCTCAAGAAAAAATATCCACATTCTAAGGGCTCTTAAAAATGTAAAAAACTTGCCCTGTTACCACGGGATTTTAGAACACCTCTAAACACGCACAAAATAAGACAGATATTACCTACAAATTCAACCATTGCTTAAACTCTAAAAGCATTTTCTGTATTATTCTCTTTTGATACGGAAGGGGGAACTCAGCTATAAAGAAATATTAAAAAGTATTTTTATAGTGATCAGTCTCAAGAATATTCTGTCGCTTGCCTTCCCCAACTTGTGCTGATATTTTAAGGATGTGCTCAGGAGTATGAAGCGGGGTGCTCTTGTCCCTTTCCCTTCTCTCTACAAGTCCCCCCTCCCTATCCCATGGCCAAATCGCCACCCCTCAAATGAGCCATTCCTTTTTGCTCTCATCAATGGTCTCTGTGAAATTGGGGTCGTTGTTCATGATGGCAGCATCGGCGCTCTCCGCGGACTCGGCTCCCTTGGCTTCGTTGGTGTGGTAGGTGCCCTTGTGACGGAACATGTACCGGATGAGGAAGACCAAGGTGCAGAGGATGGTGAAAATCACCACGGCAATGACCCCTGTGGAGGCAGGAGAGGTACCAGAGTTAAGCACATCTCGCACATACAGCAGACTCCCAAACAGCAATCACCATGACGATGACAGAAGGGAAATGTGGCTCGTTTGGGGCCACAGGTGGGTAACAGGAACAACCAAGGCAACCCAAAGTGACAAGGATAGTCGACAAATCATAGGAAGCATCAGCTTTCAGACCCTGGACAACAGGTGGTGCCTGAAAACAGAGAGCCCCAAAGATGATTTTTTATGCTTTTCCTAGTTTTCTGGCTGGTAGCAATTTCTGTATAGCAGTGTAGGGAGGGGTTGTATGAGAAAAACACAGTGTTCCCCAAATGGATGGTAGAGGAGAGAGAGGATGTGGTCTGCATAGCAAGAGCTCTGTGGTTTGCACAGAAGTCTCTGGATCTGTGGCTGAATAGTGACTCAGGAGCAATAGGCCGAACAGGGCTGGAGATGCTCATGTCTCCACCAGGCACAGTGGAGGGACACCACTAAACGACCAGAGCATTTTCTATAGATTATGAAGATGTTTTGCTGAAATAGGCCTTCAGTAGAGGCGACTCAGAATTTCCCCTTAAAAAACTTTGAAATGGACTTCGAAATCAAGCTGCCTAAAACTGAATTGCCTGCCCAAACAAACCTCAAAATTCATTACACTAAGATAATAAAACCCCCAAAGGTAGTGTAATGTTAACAATGTTAGCACCCAATAGAAAATTACTAAGCAAGCAAAGAAAAAAATGAAAAGGTGGGAGAACATCACTCAACCAGGAGAAAAATCAGTCAATCAGGAGGAGATCCAGAAATGACAGAGACAATGGAGGTAGCAGATAAGGTCCTAAGCAGACACCTAGAGTGACAAAGTGGAGTAGCTACACTAACACGAGAGAACAGATAAGGTTATTCAAAAGAACAAAGAGCATTTGATAATGACAAGTCAGTTATCCAAGACACATGAATTCAACTGCGTGCATGCCTGACAGAACATCCACAGTGAGTGAAATGAAGACAGGAGGGAATATGAGACAATCCACCATTACGGCTGGAGATGCTAAAACTCATCTGTTTGTAATCGATAGAACAATTAAACGGAAAACCAGTAAGAATCTGCAACACCTGAACAACACCAAGTTTAACAAGCTGCAGATTGGGAGGAAATATTTATAATACCTATGTCTGACCAGGAACTTGTATCCAGGACATAAAAAGAACACTTATAAGTCAATAGAAGTCAGCCAATCTAATTAAAAAAGTGGAGAAAGATTTTTAACAGACACTCTGAGAAAGATTTACCCATGGCGACAGGCTCATGAAAAGATGCTCAACACAAGTGATCAGATAGAGGTGCACATTAAAAGCACAGAGACACAACGACTCATCCACAAGAGTGGATAGATATGAGGATTGACAATACCAAGAGTTGGCAAGATTGTGGGGCCACTTGAGCTCTCAGATACTGATTGTGGGACTGTTAAGTGGTTTAATCACATTGGAAAACTATATGGCAGTGTCATGGTTTGGCGGTGTCATGGTTTGGATATGAGGTGTCCCTCCATAGCTCCTGTGTTAATGTAGAAGGTGAAATGATTAGACTATGAGAACTGTAGCCTCATCAGTGGATTAACCCATTTGATGGATTAATAATTTAAATGGATTGGATGATAACTATAGGCAGGTTGGGCATGACTGGATGAAATGGTTCACTGGGGGTGTGCCTGGGGAATTATATATTTTGTCCTTGGCTTCTCAAGCTCTCTCTCTGTCTCTGCTTCCTGGTTACCACGAGGTAAGCAGATTCACTCTGCCATGATGTTCTGCCTCACTCAGGCCCAGAGCAAAGGAGTCAGGAGATCATGAACTGAACCTCTGAAACTGTGAGCCCCAAATAAATCTTTCCTCCTCTAAGTTGTTCTTGCCTTCAATGGAAAGCTAGCACTGGATGTTTTTATAAAGTTAAATATTCACTTTCCATAATATCCAGTGATTGCAGGGCTAGGAATTACCAAAGAGAAATGAAAACTTATGTTCCCTTAAGACTTGTGCAAAGAACATTCATGGCAGCTTTATTCATCATAGCCCAGGTCTGGAAACAAACCAACAAGTGATCAGCAGGTAAGTGGATAAAACAAATTATGGTATATTCATGTGATGGAATTCAACTTGGCAAGAAAAATAAATGAACTATTGATAGACACAGCAATGTGGGTAGATCTCGAAGACATTATGTCAGTTGAACAAAGAAAGGCATGAAACATTACATGCTCTCAGATTCCAGTTACGGAGTGCTAAGGGAGAAAAAACTCATCTATGGTGACAAACGGCAAACTAGAGGTTGCCTGGGCTGGGAGTGAGGCAGGGGAGGGTGGTGTGTGTACACAAGGCAGTGAGGTCTGCTCAGGAGGGTGGGATGTTCTGCTGCTGTGCTGGTGGATGTGAGTGTTCCCATTGGTCAGAAGCCATCCCACTGCTGCATTGACAGGTGAACATTATGCTTTAATTAAGTAGATTATAAAAAAGCCAAAGAGCAAAAAACAATCAGGATGGGGACTTTGATGACATTGTTCCTGAGCTTTGGACAATGTGAAGTGAGCACCCTTCTGAATAAATTTTAATTTTATAGTTGTATATGTTTCTTAAAGCTGTCTACTCTCTTCCCTTGGGAAGAAACTGGCTGGGTTTAAAGTCCCCGATATGCTTACGACGTTGGCTGTACTCAGAGAGTCAGGAATCAGGAGCAGCAGGGAGAGAAGTGGGCAGTGGCAACTGAGCCCTCAATGCTGATCCAAGCCCGAGGGCCCGTGCTAGGGGAGTCAGTGACTCAGCAGCTCCCAGGGTGGGAAGACAGACTGGAATATTTTATGTACCCTGGCTGTTGGATTTTTCAAAGTTTTTGTTAAGATATCTGAAGTCAAATGGAGAATTCCTTCCCATTTTTCTAGTGAGCTGTTCTGGAACATTTGGAATGTGAGAGGGTGAGAGTGAAAGGAGAAGAGGCTAAAGAAATGTCCTGGGTATTGTCACTGCTGCTTACCTAAGTCCTTTGATTCTGTCTGGCTCACCCTAACATTCTCATTTTTACAATCCAGCATTAAAAAGTAGCTGGGTTATATTTATCACCATTTCTCAACCTTATTTCATAACTTTATGTCATATTTAAATGACAAATGAATGATATAAAAATCTAGAAAATTCTTCCTCCCTCTTCCTGGGCTACTATTTTATTGAGAATCGTTGCTTTCCACAGGTGAATAGGCACACAGACGCCTGTTCTCGGTCACCCACCTCCAATGATAGCCGAGTTTCTGTTGACTCCATTTCTTATAGCTTGTCCTTGTCCTGGATTATATGGGAAATCAGCACTGGCTGTAAGAGAGAAAAGAAGAGTCAAGTAAGTATAAGAGTCAAGTGTACCATTAGTCCCAAATAGTTGGATAGCTATTTCTTATATGACTTTTTGACATCTCTTACTTTCCCAAATGAAATCTCCATTTCAGATGGCCCCATCTTTTTTATTTTTCTCCTGAAAGAATCCAAGAAATCCCCACCCCTGTTCTTGCTGTTCTTCTTTGCACAGGCCTAGGTAAACACTGGCTCATTGGAGGAATACTAGAGAATTCTAGATCCTCCAGGGGCTGGTTGCAGGACCCCTCGACCCCTACGGTACCGGATTCATGGCTGTTCTAGTCCCTCATGTACTCCATTGTATATGACCTTCATAATCCTCTAGTATGATTTTAGTAATCTCTAAATGACTTATAATCCCTAACACAGTTTAATGCTATGCAAACAGCTATTTATGCAATACTGTTATGCAAGGGAAAAATGGCAAGAAAACGCAGGTGTGTTTTTTATTTTGGTGGCAGGTAACAGGGATTGAACCCAGAGGCACTTAACCACTGAGCCACATCCCAGCCCTTTAAAAATATTTTCTTTAGAGACAGGGTCTTGCTGAGTTGCTTAAGGCCTTGCTAAGTTTCTGAGGTTGGCTTTGAACACACAATCCTCCTGCCCCACCCTCCGGAGCTTCTGGGATTACAGTGCGCTGCTGTGCCTGGCAGTGCAGATGCAATTTTAAAAAATGCTTTCAATCTGCATTGGCTGAGACTGCAGCTGCAGAAACCTTAGGCATGGAAGGCTGACTATGTTTTCTTATGTTTGCCTGAAATCTGTTCCCGTCCACTTTGATTCCATACACAATTGGAAAGGTAGATGAGCTTTTTACAGCATCTGTTTGAAATGTAATAACTTTCTTAAACTAATATTTTACATGGGTCTAATAAAACACCATACACTTCATGAATTTGTAAAGGGGCAAAATTTCATAAAAGAAGAATTAATATTCTTCTCTTTTTGAGAATATTAATGGCTGAATCAATTTCTCTGTTACAAAAACCAAGAAACCATTTTGTTAAATTGAGATGTTTCTCTAAGATAAAACAAATTTCAAGTACCCAAAAAGCAAATAGACCCTGAAGTATTTCTGTAGGTCAGTGGAGCGTCTATTATAATTCATACAAGCAAATTCAACTTCAAAACTACTTTGCATTGTGGGATTTCAGTTTGGGAAGTTAAGGTAATTCTTCCATTGAAGGCAGCTTTTCCCTGAGCCAAACAGAAACAACCACCTTGTTCTCAGGCAGACCTATGGTTGCTGGATAGCACCAAATTAGTGCAAAAAAATATTTTAAAAGTAGATGTTTGGTGTAATATAGTGTGTATACACCAAGAATATAGTAGTTGTTATGATTGACTTAGTTTTCTAAGGCTAATTTATTCCTGGCTAGAGACGTCCAAGAACCTCCAAGATAAAGAAACAAAGTGGGTAGGCCCTTTCTCCTCCTGGTCCCTGGAAATGTGCCGACCAAAGAGGGAGACTTCAGATTCCACCAGCAAGTGTGACTGAGCCCTTTCTCTTTTTAAATTGGTTATTCTTCCCAGGAAAATTATTCTTTCCTAGATGTATATAGTCCATATTATCTCAGAAGGCTCTACAGGTGGTCATGAGCCTCCCAACATGAACCTTCAAAATATTTTAGGTATGGTTACAAAAATGCCATGGTGGTTTTTTTTTTTTAATTCTATAATATGATATTCATGACACCATGAAACAAGTTACTTTTCTGCCTCAGATAACACAACCCACAAACCATAGCATGGCTTCTCTCTGCTCCAAAACCCACCTTGCCTCCTTGGCCCCAAACTTCAGAGAAACATAGGTACTTAGAGACATTGGTGGCCTCTCCCCAGTTCAGTTCCCTTGATGTATATAAACAATGGTGGAAAGTATGGAAATAGTGGCAGAGGTGACCTGAGATGACTCCAGGAGAGTGACAATAGCTAGAGGATAGGATTGTGATGAGACTGAACTCCAAGGCATGGGGAAGGGGGCCTCCATGGGCTGCATTTCTCTCCTGCCTCTTCCCCGAGGGGCAACTTTTCCCACTCAATATTCTGGGTTAACAGATCCCAATGCTTCAGGCCAGTGTGTCTTTGCTTACCCAGATGATGCTCGGTATCTGGACACCTGGTCTACCTTTCCTCTCTTTTTGCATCAGATTTTACCTCTTTCCTAAATGCATCCTCAGCCACCTCAGATTAAGTGGCTGACCCTCTTTGATGGCTATAATCTTCATTCTTATCACTCCTTACTGGGTAGATGTCCTGCTAAAGGCAGGGGCCAACCTTAATGATGTTTGCAGTTTCAATGAATAATAATGTACTAGCGGGAGCTAAATGGATGTTCATTGACTTGTATAATTACAATCAGTCCATTAAGTGTGGGTAAACATTTGTGTAGCCTCTCCAATAATCACCCTCCATGCAAGTGTAATTTAAAAAGTGAGCTGCCTACTCTCAACTAAAATCTTAAAACAAGCCAGCATTCTTATTCTCCCCAACAAAGGAAATGAACATGTTGGGTACAGAAAAGATATTAATGATTCTTTGTCCACTAGACTTTGGTAATTGTTAGAAAACCATTAATGGAAAACCCTCAGGTCGAAAGAAACCCTTATGAAATTCAAAGACAGAATTCTGTTGTGTGTATGTGTGCGTGTGTGTGTGTTTTTTTTTTTCCAGGAGCATCCCTGTTTTCATGGCTTTATTTATAACTTAAGCCTGGTTGTCTTAATGCATGGGAATGCTCAGTCCCTTGAGGCAAAGCTACTTTATTCTGGCAAGCAGAGCAATTGCTATTTTGATAGATATATTTCATTGTAACTGTCCTTTCCCCTGGGTTACCAAGAGCCTCTTGGGAATGCATGTAGAGAAAAATGGTGGCCAAGAAATACGGCTGAGATGGATGACGAAGCTCGTTTATGGCACATGCTCTGTTCTGCTAACTTCCATGTCCCCCACTCCGCCACCATTTGCTGGAGAACTAAGGAATTTTAGGGTATTGGAGCATTAAGAAATATATATTTTGAGAAACATAACGAATAGGTCTGAATTTAGAATGTTAATTCAAAGTAGACTAGATGGATATTAGCTATATCAGGACCTGACTTGCATCCTGTAAGCACAGACGGTATTCGACACACTCTTTTTCTGGATTGCCCAGTGTCACCAAATGATGATAACCAACCACCAAGCAGGGCGTCCTCCCAGCACTGACTTAATTTCTAACAGAAGTGTGTGTATTTCTGCATATTTCCCTTGCTCATGTCCTTCTTGTTCATCTGGTCATCCCCAGTATTATGCCCACAGACCATGTTCCCTTTGCATCTCCCAAGGATTGGATTTCTTCCCCTTCTCTACCCAGCACAGGCCAGCAGGCACGATTTTGGAGGAACTGATGATGGGAGATTCTGCTCCCAGAAGCACGCTTAGTGAACAGCCTGGCTGAGGCTTCAGAGCCCACCCAAGATGCATTGCTACCCTTCTCACCCAGAGAAGGCAAATATGTTATAGGTCCCCAGACATATTTAGACATGGTCACGTTTGCACTCTAACACACAGATGTTCTTTTTCACTGTCTCTGTCTTGCACGTGTGAAGCAATCAGAGAGCTCACCACTGGCACCCCCTTTCCCTTCCTCCATTTCCAGGTTGCAAAAAACCCAAGAAGTAACAACCAAGCCTACTTTGTGTGAGCAAGTCTAGTGCAAGTTGTTCCTCATAATCACACAGATAGAGTAGGACGGTTATGAATTGGAAGTAGGTGAGAAAGAGCCTTCTTTCCTTCCCTCCAAAGAATAGAATATATGACTGTTGGATCCCCCTTCTAAAGTTGTTTTGCTCTTCCTTTCCATTCTCGAAAGGCCTTATCACAAAAGCAGGAGGGCAGTCTTGCTAGCACGTCCTTTGCTGTGTGCTGGGCGGGTGCCCAGTGTGGTGTCCTTCTCTCAGCAGCTGACACACCAGGACTCTCCAAGGCGAGGGAGGGACAAGCTCCAAACTCCAGCAAAGACCCCAAGTTACCACACGGGTAGTTTATATGTGCTGAGTGACAGGACTCGAAATTCTAAGAATATCTGAAGAGAATCATTGCTTGGGTTGTAGTTTCCTCGCCCAGCCTGCTCTCTAGGGCCCAGTCTACACCTAAGGTTCTGTGACCGTGGAACAACTCTCAAAGCAAAATGTTGTAAGAATGGCAAAATACCAAGAGGTTTGTTACAGTGGACTTCACCTAGAAGCATTTTCCTTTTATTTTATTTATTGATTGCATGTTGCTGGGCTTTGAACCCAGGGCCTTATGCATGTTAGGCAAGTGCTCTACCTTTGAGACCCATCCCCAGCCCCATCATTTTCCTTTTATTGTGGAGTACCAAAAGTAAGTTAACATTGAGCCGGGCATGGTGGTTCACACCTGTGATCCCAGAGGCTTGGGAGGCTGAGGCACGAGGATTGTGAGTTCAAAGCCAGCCTCAGCAAAAGCGAAGCGCTAATCAACTCAGTGAGACCTGTCTCTAAATCATTTTATATATATATATAAAGAGGCATCAGGAGATGCCTCTTTTTCCAGGTTGCTGTCTACACTATCTCTATGCAATAATCAGCATGGTTGCATGGTCAAGGAAATCTGCTAAGCCAGGTTGTTTTCCTGCTGTGCACGGGGTGAATGTGGAGGCAGACAAAAGCCTTTTGATATCAGTAAGCTTCTGACTGCACTTGTCTTTCAGCTGCTGAGTGGGAGAACATTCCACATGATGGCAGCATCGGTTGAGCTGTGTGCCAGTCTAAGAATTCAGAACCAATGTGGTGGAAGAGGAGGAACGTCAGTTTCATCTGAACCCCTGTGGGGTTATTATCATAACAGAAGCACAATACTACGGCTAGAATAGGACCAGGAATAGTGCTAATTGTGCTTTCAAACAGCATTGTCAGAATATAAATTTGGATGGCATTTATAGAATGTGAGAAATT